GCTCGGTCATTTTCAGATGGAAATATTGAAATTAAATGAAATTAAAATATAATAATAATACATTTGTGATTAATATGTAAGCGTATTGGTTATCTAGAAATTCATTATGTGTCACCCACATCATTTGAGTATTTATGACCACTAAAACTCATTATCTTCTCTTTATTAGTGTATGTTTTTTCAAAGTTACCGTAGTAAATCGACACGTAAACAAGCAGAGACACTATATAAGGCTCTGTTGTCACTGTGACATCTTCATATTTGTCTCGTTGAATTGTCCGCTTTGATAATAATTATTGTGCTAAAACATCACAAAAATATTCTTTACATGACAAAATATTATCCACTTTGAATTAAATCCGCACACGATTTTTCTCAATGATATATACATATACCTACTTAAAGGAGACAAAGTGAAAATAAACTTAATGTATTTGATGTGGACCTTATAAATAATGATTTTCTAGTCTAGAAAGGAGAATGAGTTCCATTTAAGGCATCTCCTTACCATTTTACAATTATTAATTATCTATAAAACTATGGTCCATTTTTTTAATATTAAACTTTATTTTACATCAAAACACATGTATTGAAAATGTGCCTTTTTTCTTCTTAATAAAGCTTCTTTATATTATTTCTTGAAGTTTACTTGCTGAGCTACCAATTTTGTATTGATATTTTAGTAAAAACTATATATTGTTATTATTTATTTTTATCGTCAAATATAATATAGCGGTAATTATATTATTGCCACAAAATTCTTTATTTATTTTAGTGGCTCTTGACTTATACGACATTAAAATTGGATAGGTTTACTAATTCTTTACGATTTTGTTCGTTTGAATTTTTTTCCGAAAATGATCTAATCATCTTTCCATCTGAGTAGCAAACAAGTTTATGACACATCATGATAACTAATCAAATCATTCGAATTTTTAGTGAAAATTATGGCTCTACGCACTGCGAAACACAAATGTGCAATTTGAATTGTAGAATAGTGTTCCACAAGCACTTACTCCATCAACATCAAAATCATTTAATTAAAAAAATCAGAGTGGGAATTTATGTTAATCATTAGTGAAAATATCAAATGGATACTACTTAGTTGTAGGTTGGTTAGTATCTAATAATGCATTAGTTGGTGTTTGTGATTTGTTGTTTACACATTGTATCTGTTTCATGCCCAAAAGTGGAAACAACTTTACCATTAATTAATCAAATTATCTTTGTTTTTTATAGTAAGTACTGTTAATATATTTTATTTTCAAGATTTTCAATCCAAAAGGATTTCATTTAAATATCAGCTGAATGATTTGATAGTGCTAAAACTGAAAGAAATATTACTTAAATTCTTAATTAAATATTTTCTCTGTTCTCTTTTACTTGTTTAATATATTTTTAAAAAATCATTTTTATTCATCTATTTTAGCAAATCGAGATTTTTTTTTTCAATTTTACCCTCATTCCTCAAACTTATTGGAGTATAAATAGTGAACACATTTTGATTCCAAAGTATTATTAATGAGGAAAATTTAATAAAATAATCACTAATTAATATTTTTTAACAGAAGTATAAAAATTTAAACTGGATAAATAGAAAGGAATGATAGGGTTGGATTATGTGAAATAAACTATCTCAAAATTGAAAACTTGTAGGTAAATACAATTATTTATATAATATCTTCTTCTTCTTTTTCTTTTTTTTTTTGTATTTTTCATGATGTTTGATATTTTTATTGAGATTTGAATAAATTTGAATTCGCGTATTTCAGGTACATTTATGAGGGCAGACTATACTAACAATACTAGTGGCTAAAACATCCTTAAAATTTGCAACCATGCAAATAGAATTAATTTTAAAGAAGATTAATACAATGACAATGACTAGAAAACAATATTATTCCACTATTGCATTATTATCATTTAATTAAATTACAAGCAATTAGTTTTTTTTTTAAAAAGATGTGTTATATATATATGGCCTTCCTTGGAAGAAAAGTATAAGTGAAAAAAAACCAAGTTGCTGCCTTATATACATATTCTATTATATTAGAATAATAATTATAATATATAGTTGAAACCAAGGTTTGGATTGGAGTCTTTGGAAGAAGGCTCCCTTCTTTTATATTCGATAATTATATTAGAATTTCAATTAATTAAAAAACATTATCTATAAAAAAAATTCATACATAAAGTTTAAACTCGAGATCTTTAATTAAAATTCGCTAAATATTAATTAGAAAGGTTCTTGAAGTTAAAAACTAAATATCATGCCTTAGTTGGAATATTATATTAATAATAAAAAAATTATTTTAAAAAATAGAATAAAATACAATGGTGATCCTAGCTATGCAAAAATATCCAATAGGTTAACCAACCCTTGAATATATCTTCTCCTTATAGTAATTATAATATATTGTTTAAATATAAAATGTCATTTTCTCATTCAAAATAATTTTATAATTTATTACAAATGTTCTTAATATTATATGACCCTTTTCATATTTGGAGATAATTTTTTTATAAGATTTTTTTTTAAGGAACACATGAAAGGAAACATTCTAAAACATACAGAAAAAAAAAAACTTATAATAGTCAAAGCACAATAAACAACATTAGCAAAAATCGAGGGACCAGAAACTACAAGAACAATGCTAATACTACTAATATGCAAAGAGAAACCTATCTCGCTGGACAATGAGACGACACTCAACTACTTACCTAATACCCTAATCCGCGAGAATCATATGTTAATCAAATTTGTCTATTTCATTTGGCCCTTTGCTTAAACGGTTTTGTTGTGGAATCCAACCACCTTGCCAAATAAAAAAGCATTAATTGGAATCAAATTTCCTATCTTATAAGGAGGTTGATGTCGTGTATACCCTCATGTATAGTTGTTGTCCGAAATATCGTCGCGTCCAAAACTCTGATCTTATGTTCCAAATTCCCACATTGTCTAATGCAACATATTTTTTTTTATAAGATCGTTTTTTTTTATTCAAAATTTAATTGGCCATAAAAGATCACTTTCTCTTATTAGCATATTTTACGATTGAGATAGGAGGAGGAGACAAAGCACTTGTACCAAGAAAATTTCAGTCACATGCTCGACTTCTTGTTAAAGGCAGAGGGATTCCTACCTAACTAATCCTGATTTTTTCACTAAGAAATTTTGGATCTATCTCCAACCTGAATAATATTAGATAAGTGCTCCCTATAAAAAAATTCTTCATTCTAATAATTCGATTCCAAGATCTTTAGTCAAGGGCAGAATGATAGGAATCATCTCACCATACCTTTAATGATCTCATATCAAGTAATTAATCTAACTAATAGCATATACTAACCCTTGAATTTCGATAGTCATTTTAAGGTCGACTAATTTAATGTGTACTGAAATATTCAACTACGACAAGTAAAACTCTCTTTATTATTAAATGTACCACCATTTTAAAACTCAAATTCGATACATCAAATTAAAGATGATGATATGCTTATCGCTCAATTAGAATCTTTGGTAATATAAATTATAAGTACTATAGGTATAGGTCCCCTCCCACCCTCAATTACCCAAATTAATTTATATACTCTATCTTCTTAAAAAGAATAAATCATACTAATAATAGTAGCCACTTGCTATAGTTGGAAAGCTTTGTGTTTGTATAATAATAATTAAAAAATAACTAGTCACCCCCACCCTAAAAAATGTTCCACTTGGCTTTCTAAACAGTTGAAGAATAATTTTTTATGTCATAAAAAGTTGAGATTATTTTTTATGTTATAAAAAGTTAAGAGATTTTATGGTTATCCTCTTACAATCCACTAACAAATATCAAGTACTATCCACTTATGTGGTTTTCCTTTTTTCTTAATTTTTTTTAAAAAAAGAATTAAAGTTAGTAAAGTCAAAAGGATTTGAATGTGTTAGACTAAGGTACAAGTGTTAAAAGCATATGATAAAATATTTTTATTATATAAATACACCACTTTTTTTTTAGTTGAGAATGAGTAGAAGGGGAGTAGTAAGTGCTCCAAATTTTCAATGTTTAATTCATGTTAGGCCAAAAAAATGTGTGGTCTAATCGTTAATAAAGTGAAATGAAATATAATAATCGATGAGAATTTAAATTTCATTAGAGCTAACAAAAAATATCAGGTGCTTTTTTAGTTGTTATTTCGCCGTAATACAAAAAGTATTAAATGTTCGTAAATTAATCTTGAAATTAATATTATTTAAAATAACATATCAAGTATTTTTTTGGGTGGTGGGGGGTGGGGTGTGTGGATAGGGGTAGTGTTGGGAGAGTTTTTTTTTGTTGTTTCCTACCCCGAATTTTTTGATATCCACTTTAGGGCTTGATTAATCCAATTTTTCAAGTACATATTATTGAACACAAGACCAAACCTTCACTCTTCTAATATAGTAGAATGATTTTTCACGCTGAGAGACTAATATTAAAGCATAAAACACATTATTTTTAAAACGATTTTATTTTTAGAATTCAAACTTGAGATTTTAATTATTAAGTATGAAGGTATACTAATCTCCCGCCACAATTTTGAATCACTCTGATGACACCTCTGAACAACAAGTACCCACACCCTTCGTAACAAAGAAAATAAATTTGTTAAATAAAAAAAAAGTCCTCGTAATGACTTTCTCATCCCTTACTTATGCTAAATTGAGAGAATCCTTATTAGGACTTCTTCAATAAACACTTGTTTTTCAATCAAGTTTTATATGATTTTCTAGTCAGATACTCAGATTGCTCTTATGTATTCTCGTACACATTCCAACGATCATCAACAAATAAGTCAACTTTAAAGTAAATTTATTGTGTCAAGAGTGCGTTATGACCCCTGACCATCGATCGAGCAAGAGTGGGGAGTGATTAAAGAAGAAAAAAAAAACTAATAAAGCACATAAAACAAAGTCCTTCCATGAAGGCTATATTTCATTGGTCATTGCCAAGTAATTCCAAATTATTTTCCACTTGTAAATCATCCTGTCGCCCTCTCTCTCTCTCTCTCTCTCTCTTTTCTCTCTTTCTCTCTGCTTGAAATTGTACTGACATGGCTACTAACTAAATGGGGTTTCTCTAATTGACCGTACAATCACACAAAGCTTAAATTTTTCTTCTTCAACGTACAACTATTACTTCACTAGGTACAACACTCAACTTGCAAATATTCACTTATTTTTCTCTTTTTTCTATCATAGGTGTTGTAAAGATTTGATCTTTCTTGTTCAAATAGTGTTTTGTTTATTTTTATTTGATGTTTTGCTCAGAGTTTGGTGATTTCTTGAAAATTTCCTTATTTTTTTAAGCTTTTCTTTTAGTATAATGAAGAAAAGATTAAAACTTGTTATCAAGATTTTGTTCTTCTTCTTAGTTAGTCAAGGGTGTAGTTTAGTGGTTAATAAAGTGATTTAGTTTTCGGGTTTAAATTTTAGCAGATACAAAAATATTAGGTGATTTTTTTTCTAATTGTGTTAGTGGGAGGTAGTAGGTATCGCATAGAATTAGTGAGTGTTTTTTTTTTATTACGATGGTGTGCGGGATAGTTTGTGAGTATATTGATTAATTTTACGAGATATCTGTTACCTGCACACCAGCAAATTTGAATTCTGCTTTGTTTTTGTCAAGAATATTCACTTTTTTTTTTTTCTATTATGGCTGTTGTAATTTGTAAAAGTTTGTTCTTTCTCTCCTTATTTTCTTCTTTGAACTATTCTTGGTATTATAGAACTCAAGGTTGGTTATATATTTTGATTTTTACTTTTATGGTGTTTGTGTATTGTTATGTTCTTTGACAACTGCCATTTTTGTGGTTTTTGTCTGGTTATCTTGTAGTTTAGCTTATATCTATTAGAATATTTGTTCAATGATTGATGTTTTTTATGTAGTTTCTGTAAATTTTCCCTTTTTAGCTTTTCTTTCCTTAAAATAATGAATAAAAAGATAGAATTTGTTTTCAAGATCTTTTTTTGTTTCTCCTAGCATCCCGAGGGTATAGCTTAGTAGTTAATGAAGTAGTTGAGAATCATGAGATTTCAAGTTCAAATTGTAGCACAGGCAAAAACATTAGGTGATTTCTTTTTATCTGTTCAAACCTTGGTGGATCGTATAAATACTTTATCAAAAAACCAATAACTTTCTTTTCAAGAATCTAGAATCTATAAACTCAAAAGCCTAGTTCTGCCTTTGTTATTACCTAATACTTGTGCTTGATAGGAGGTAATAGATACCCGTTGGAACTAGTCGAGATGTCCACAAGTTGGCCTAGGCATCATAGTTATCAAGAAAAAAAAATTATTTTCTTATTGCAATTTTTTTCAAGTTCTTCTTTTTTGGTTATTTCTGGATATGATTCTTGAAAATTTTGGATTGAGTTTTAGAACTTCTGTTATATTATATCTTGAGGCATTGTTTTCAATGGAAACTTATGAAATATTGTTTGCTTCAATTGATTGAGCTGCAGGAACTTAATTCCTTCAGATTTTCAAGAAAAAAGGTGTGAATTGCTCTTTTATAACCATGCATACTACTGTATTTTCCAAAGGAAATGAGGGGGTTGTCCAGAATCAATCTGTTGCAACATTGTGCACTGCTCCTTGGTGGAGTAGTGGTTTTATGTCTCAATCTGTGGCTTTTGCTGAGCCTTTTGGACAATTGAAATCTGCATCTGTGGAGCAGCAGCCTAAGGGGAATGCAACAGAGTTCACTATTTCCTCTGGTACTTTCTTATTCATTCTTTTGGAAATTCATAGGACATGACCTTAGATAGGAGGGTGTGGACGTCACGGATAAGGGTAAAAGGTTAGTAGGTAATCGAGCGTTGTCTTGCTTTTCGATGGGATAGGTCTTGGTGGTAGTCTATATGGGTAACTATCCTTAAAATATATGCATTTGGGATGAATATAGTTTACAAATTCAATGCCCCTCTTAAACTTGATAAGTCACACCAAAAGACATTAGTAATTTCTAAGATCATCAATTTCAATGGCTTGGTGACCTCTCAAATTTTGATATCTGATTCTTTCTTAAATATGCATTGTCCAAGAAAATGATATTTAGTGCCAAGATGTTTGCTCCTTTCGTGAAAAAGACCAAGTTCTTGGACCAATGTTAGATTAGAATTGTTCTCGAAAAAAATCTTCTTTTAATTTACTTGTTGTTGGTGAAGTTCTTGTAACAAAATCTTAACTACATTGCATGAAAACCACAATCGGTGCTTCTCAGAATTCAATGTAAATTCAGCTTTTTCAAGAAAGAACGAAAACTGGTAGTGCTTTTCCAAACATTATGAAAATAACATTAAGTAAAAAACTTTGGTAGGTTGAGTAAAATCTTTCCATAGTCAAGCTAGATTTGATGTACTGATATATTTTTTTGACCACCTTAAAAAGAGAAATGTTAGGAGTCTTATAAAGTACTTACAAGCTATGTTGCTCGGACTCTTCAAAAATGTCACCTGGTGCGCGTCGATTTCTCCAAAAGATTTGTATTTTTTGGAGAATTTGACATGGGTGCAGCATCGAAAGTGAAGAGTCCATGCAACTTAGCTTACAAGTCCAAGACCAAAAATAATATCTAGTTTGGAAGTTGGACAAATCTATTGCTCCAAACTTCCAACAAGGTTCTTGAAAAATGTGGCATAATCATGCCTCTATCTCCATTCTTGGATAATCTGAGTCTGTTCCATGGTGGTACTAACGAACTTGCGATTCACCATCTTGACTTTCTCCACATATATTCTTCTCACGGTGGAACTAACGGGCTTGGAATTATCTATCTTGATTTCCTTCCGATATTCTTCCTTAGAGATAGAACTATTATCCTTCTTCTGCTTTTCCTTGATAGTTGAGTGACCATCTGAGATATTATCTCATTTATGTATTGATGATGCTGACAATTATGGAATATCATAAGCAATTTACTAGTTAGCAAGGGATTTTATTAATGCTTCTCCTTTTACTCCATCTTATCTCCCGAGTTAGAGAATCTCAGCTATTGTGCCATTTTGTTTTCTCCTTTTTCCTTTAGTTTAACATCATACTCCATACACCTTCTCTTCTCTAGTTCTTGTTAATGGAAATCACGTTCTGTTGAAATGCTTAACCATTTGGGTTCTTCTACAGCCCGTTTTACAAAAGACATGTTGACATTTATGTAGTATCTTCTTCAGGTGATTGCAAATCTTCAGCAAATGGGCAAAAACTTTCAAACGTTCAGGCTGCTACCTCTGTTCGCGCAGCTAATATGGACTACCGAGGTCACTTTGATCTAGGTTTTGGTCAGTCCCTGGTAATCTTTTTCATCACGAAAGTTCCATTTGTCTTCAATAAATCCCAGTATATGTGCTTGTTCATTATGTTTATGTGATGTGCTTTTAAATGGTGCAGATTTCTGCAAAATATCCTTATGGAGAGCAATGCATTGGGTTATTTTCAGCTTATGCTCCTCAACTTTCGGTACTACTTCTTTCTGATAGCATCACTTTCCAATCACCGGAGTTATGTGGGTTTGGTAATTTATGCTTTCTCTGGAATTAGTTACATATTCCAAAGAGCGAAGTAACAGCATTACTGTAGACGTATCTGCTGTTTTGTTGCATAACTTACTAAAGTAACAAACTTCAGCTTTATAAAGTTTTCTAAATCTTTTCAAACATGTAATGACAACCAATATCAACTTTATGACAGCTTATATTGTCATGTTTCCATCATTGATAATATTGCGTAAATTTTGTTTTAGCACATCATATGTGAGCTGAGTTGGATTTTTAATGTGGTTGATTTGGAAAAGTTTCCAAAAACCATTCTTTCTCCTTCATCAAAACGAAGATTGGAATATTTTTAGTTGAAAAAGACGAGAGAAAGTTGAAGAAACCTTGATTTATGCCTGTTGATTTTGCAAGTTAGTTGGATCAATTGATTGGTATATTTAAGTTTTTCCTCACAAGCAGAGATGTTATAGCGTGCGTCATGTCTAGAAGAAGCCACCTCTGTGGACATTATATAACCTGAGAGCCTTGAGGAAACACGGCTCCAATTTTTCACCTAAGTAGTTTTTTGGCTGAGGAGACCACCTTATAAGCAATTAAATAGATGAAAATGAGGAAGAAGTAGCTCCACTTAACTGATGCTTACTATCCAATTTTGGAGGTTCAAAGGCTGTAGTTGCGTTGGTCCTAAGGGTTGGCCCCAGACAGATTTCTTGGTCATTAAAATAACAACAACAACTAAGGAAACATACTTACCTTTCGTATTGAAGTAAAGAGTAGTCTGCTTAGTACCTATTTTAGTCGGGGTAGAACAGCGTTTGACGAAGTATTGGCGTCAAAACAATTAAAAGAATGATGCAAAGAAAGATCATTGGAATCACATTTATCGTCCATTGAATTGAATTTACTAAGAAAATTTGCTCCCAAATTGTGAAACCAAAAGGATGCTACTAATACTTTGGAACTACGGGTGAGATCCTCTAATTATTCGCTGATTACCATTAGCGGATCACCTTAAGGTATCTTCTAAATGAAGGCATTCTTATACTAATTAGCAAAGGAGTGATGGAGAAGAGACCAGGAATCTTCGCTCGTTGCATCAAGTATAAATGAAAAAGTGGTGAAAAGGACAAATATCTCTAGAGGAAAGTTTTCATAGTTGTTTAGAACACCAGAAGGGTACCGTATCAACAGATTGATCATTGAACTTACTTTCCTGGATTAATTCAGAGGATCGTCTTTCAGTAGTAGCGGTTTCAAATATTAGCTACAATTATGGAATAACAAAGGAAAGGTGGAAACGGAAATATTTCGGATTAATGCAGAACACTGGAATATATGCAGTAACAGGAAACACATGTCTTCTGATAAAAAGCCATTTATCATGTACCTTGGCAATATAGTTGGAATTTGTAGTGTAATTTAGTCTTACTCTACATCTTCAAATTGAATGATTTCGAGGCTCTAATATTCATATAATTTCACTTCACAATTTTTGCAGGGCCGCATTATGCTACCATTGAATTTGGCTTCTGATGAAGGTCCGATATTCGTAAATGCCAAGCAGTATCATGGGATACTAAGGCGTCGAAAGACCCGGGCTAAGGAAATGGAGAAAAAAGCTCTTAAACCACGCAAGGTAAAGTTTTATTTCTATGATCATTGACAGTGGATATCTACATATCAGCATGATATTTTAGTTGATCTTTATGCTTTTGAACATGTCCTCTGTTCACCCTGTTGTTACTGAGTTTTGCACTGCTTAATGCTTGCAGCCGTACTTGCACCTCTCTCGCCATCTCCATGCTTTGCGCCGACCTAGGGGCTGTGGTGGTCGCTTCTTGAACACAAGGAATATGAATGGAACTATGAAGGGTGGAAAAAACCCCGATATGTTCAAGACAGGCGATGTTCAAAACTTTTACCCTACCGGATCCCAGAATTCTGAAGTGCTGCAGTCTGATAGCAGCAATTTGAGCTCACCAAAAGAAACATCTGGAAGTAGGTTCTTTGATTCATCAGGGGTCACTAACATGTACTCTAGTGGCAATCTTGATCCTCTTCTGTTCCAAAACCTGAGGCCTCCGGTCCAGGCAATACCGGACATGATGAATACTGGACACGGTATTTTCATGTCTGGTAAGTGGGTTGGCACAGCAGATAGCTGTTGCAACCTCAAAGTTTGATAGCCTTGGCTTGAGAACGAGGTCAGGTGTCACGAGTTGAGCCTCACCTCATCCGTGCTACAACCTAATGCATACACATTTGGTTGCTGACAATTGTCGGATCATCCTTGGCTATCATGGGCAGTTCATCCTTGGCTTAGCATTAACGCGGTGCCTCTATCGTTCTATTGCTATCAAGCAACGTGGATGGTAAGAGGCACTAAAGCCTTAATGCTACTTTATTTTCAGCTCTTTGTAGGATAAATAAACTTGTTTTTGATAAGATGATGACGATGATGACCCTGTCGATCGGGGTCTCTGATGTTGCAGTGTGTTTGGATTACTGTTTTGTGATTTTGGTTTGTGAAAAATACAATGATGTATGATTGAACTTGATCCATGCAAATTGGTGTGTTTTCAGACTGGTATTTTGTATAATGGGAGTGTAGATTGTGTTGTGTTTGCAACTGTCATGTAATCTATAGTTACCTTCTCATTATGCATTTTGAAGAACATTAATCTTTTTTTTTGTTTTGTCTCCCACCCACTTTCTGATACCTGTATTGAGACATGACTGAATTTAGATTTGGACCGAAATCCTACATTGTTTTGGGGGGGGGGGTGTGTAAAGCTTACCATTCTAGCACAACCTTTATCGTCGTTTTCAACCACCTTCAGACATGGAATATGCCAACTTCAAATTGCATCTGGTGAAATAATAACGAATCATATTAAATTGTCTCTTTTTGTTATGTAACGATGAATTTCACAATGTACAACCAAAACAATTCATATATTAAACTTAAAAATCACCTTTTTCAACCAACTTTAGACATGAGATATGCCAACATCGATTGCGTCTGGTAAAATGATAACAAATCATGTTAGCATGTCTCTCTTTAATTGTGTAACGATGAATTTCACAATACAACCAAAACAATTAATATATTGTATATCGTACAATATAACATAATAGGGTAAACATTTATTTTGCATCGAATAGTTTACAACCAAATCGATAAAACCAACTAATGTCTTTCATGCTCCACATTAATTACTTAATCGTCATTAAGTACTTTCTCATTCACTTTTAACATATCAAAGAAAAACAATTAACTTTTTCCTATTTTACCTTCAACACCTTCTATACATTAATTAACATGTAAAATTTAAAATGAACGAGTAAAAATGATTGAAGACAGTAATTGCTGAGATTCAAGTTCACCGATAAGAGTTACTATGGGATAAATATAATTTCTTTCGTCTATTCAAGTTCGAACGTATGAACTTACCGATATAAGATTAGTCGAGATTTCAATATGGATATCGAACACGGAAATGGACCCCATAAGTCTGTCTTATCAAAACCTCATCTTTTATCTTCTCTCATTTCTTCACTGAACTTTCTTCTTTGGTAGAAAAATTTGGAAGAAGAAAAAATGTCAGCTTTTTCTTCTTCTCCTTCACTTCATTTCTTCACTCAAAAGCCTAAATTCTCAGTAGTAGAGCACATTTCTTCAAGTATTACCAATACCCATTTCAATTTCAAGATTAATAACTCCATAAAACCCATAAAATCGAAACCCCATTTCCCCATTTCTTCTCTTTTAGCTTCTTTCAATCGAATTTCAACCCATTTTTCTACTTCTGCTGTGTCTGATGAAGCTGAGGTTGTTGGATTAGATGAGGAAGCTGAATTGTCAGCGGAAGAGGAAATTGAAGAAGATGAAGAGAATGAGGGAGGTGAGAGTGTGGAGAAAGAAGGAAATGGGGTTGTTGATGAGCCTAAGTCGATTGAAGATGGTAGATTGTATGTGGGTAATTTGCCATTTTCGATGACACCTTCTCAATTGTCTGAAATCTTTACTGAAGCTGGTAAAGTTGCTAATGTTGAGGTCTGTTTTTTTGTTGCTTTGCTTTGGTTATCGCATTATTTTGTTGTTGTTACTGTCGGTTTTTCGAATGTTATGTAATGAATGTATGTTATGGTTGTGTTATTGTAAATGCATTGATATGTTGTTTGTTGTATAACACTCTCCATATTGCATTAATTTGTTGTTGTTATTGCTTCCGTATCTGTATCCCTTTTTTAAAAATTGTTTGGCGGGCTTTAATTAAGTTGAGTGTCTATCGGAAACAACCTCTCTATCTCTATAAGTTAGGGGTAAGGTCTGCATACACTACCAGACACTACTTGTGTAATGAGTATTTTGTTGTTGTTGATACGTGTTACTCGAGCAAAGGTCTTTCGGACATATTTTTTATCTCTCAAGAGTTAGGAGTAAGGTCTACGTACATTCTACCTTTCCCAGGCTCGACTTGTAGGATTACACTGGGTTTGTTGTGGTTGTTGTTGTTGTTGATATGTGTGACTCAAGCCAAGGGTCTTTCGGACAAAATTTACCTCTCAGGAGTTAGGAGTAAGGTTGCATACATTCTACCCTTCCCAAGCTCCACTTGTGGGATTACACTGGGTATGTTGTTCTTGTTGCTTTTTCCCTTTCCAATTCTTGAATCTTTATGCAACAAAATCTTATGATATGTATATAGACATCAATATGTTATGGGAGAAAAATCCAATTACAAAATTCGGACTAATTCTATTTATGCAACTCAACATTCCTATATTGGAAAATTATACAGTACAAATGTGCAAAGACTGAGTTTTTTTTGTTGTGTATAAGTTGTTGAGTGCATTTTATAATGGAAGGTTCTAGTGTAGGTGATAAAGGATGTTCAAAATTGCTTTGGGGAATAGGTTCAAATCCAACGTGTGATCTTTTGGTGTTTTTTGAGTCCCCTTGGATAAATTCTGGCTCTGCCACTAGCTGCATTAGCCCTCGAACAATGGAAAACAAGTTAGAGACAAGAATCATGGGATACACATAGTTGTACTCGCAAACTTAATAATAACATATATTTTCTCATATTTGTTGTTTTGTGGTTAAAGTTGGTTGATTTAATTTTGTGTAGCTGCAGTTGAAATCTGGCTCATGATTTCTAAGCCGCTTGCATGTTTGTACATAAGTTCAATTTTGATAGATTTCTTATATTTTTTCTGTTGGAATATAAGATACAGGATGACTCATGTTGTTTTTCTTCAATGAATTCGTAGATCGTTTATGATAGAGTTACAGATAGAAGTCGTGGATTTGCATTTGTTACAATGGGAAGTGTTGAAGAAGCAGAGGAGGCAGTTCGGTTGTTTGATGGATCTGTAAGTTTAACTGTTTTCTCATCATTTACTAGCAAGTTCTCTTTTCTTGTATGCTTCACATCAGCTTATTAAAACACTTAATTCATCTGCAATACCAGAATATGCAAAATACCGAACGCATGTTGAATATTGATAGTCATTCAGTAACAATATGATTCAGATTTGGTATTAGTTACCTATCTTGAACTGATGTCATTGTCCCAATAAGAAACAACAATATTATTAAGATTTTGTTTTAGTTACCTATCTTGGACTGATGCCCTTTGTCTCAATTAGCGTTTAGTTTGGTCTCGAAGGCCATTCATTGCTTATCTATATAATGTTTAACAGCAAGTTGGAGGTCGTACAGTCAAGGTGAACTTCCCCGAGGTTCCAAGAGGAGGTGAAAGGGAAGTAATGAGTGCAAAGATAAGAAGCACCTATCAAGGTTTTGTAGATAGCCCTCACAAACTATACGTTGCGAATCTTAGTTGGAACCTCACTTCTCAAGGTCTGAAAGACGCTTTTGCTGACCAGCCAGGATTCTTGAGTGCAAAAGTCATCTATGACAGGGCCTCGGGAAGATCTCGAGGTTTTGGTTTTATTACATTTTCGTCAGCTGAAGCAATGAACAATGCACTCGATACCATGAATGAAGTGGTAAGGATACGTAGTGATGAAGTATCTTAAGGACAATTTGACATATTTCTTGTTTCTCACAGTTTCTTATAATGCAATTAGGATCTTGAAGGACGGCCATTACGACTAAATATAGCTGGGCAGAAAGATCCAGTATCTTCTCCACCAGTAGTCGAAACAAGTGATTCTGAGAACAGTGAAATACTCTCTAGTCTCGGCTCATAAGATCATCGAGATTCATAGCAGCATCGGCAATTTGGAGATATGTAGAGTTTTATATTCGACGGAAACATGCTTTTTCCAGCTTATGTAACTTTGATACAGGTAAGCTGTGCTACTACATTGCCTGTACATTTTCTAAAATGCATAGTTTACAAATATTGTATTTTGATTGTAACATAACTCATCACTAGTATCAATAGAGATAACTCTTTGTAAAATGCTCATATATTCTACTACTTGTTCCTCCCTTTACCATATGCTCATTTTGTATTTATAAATATTATTTCTTGATCTTCTCATTAAATAATAGTAATTGTAAATCTTAATTTTACACAAATATTTTGCTCATTCTGTATTCCTAAACTTCTAGTAGTTCAAACTTCAGATTATTGGTGAAGTTTGAATTAATACAATTAAACTTTAGCTTAGTGGTCAAAAGTTATGAACTAATAGAACTAAACTTCAAATTAGAGGTCAGAAGTTTGAACTACTAGAACAAAATTTTAGATAAATAGTCAAAAGCTTGAATTGTGAGAACTAAGCTTTAAACCTACAACAACATATCTGGTGTAATCCTACAAGTGGGGTCTAGGGAGGCTAGTCTGTATGCAGACCTTACCCCTACCCTAAGTTGCATAAACTCTTCACTTTTGATGCTGCACCCTGTTGGATTTGGAGAATCCGACATGCACCCTGGCATTTTTGACGAGTCTGAGTAACATAGCCCCTACTTTGGGAGGTAGAAGAGGTTGTTTTCGATTACCCTTGGCTCAAGTAAAAGCATTACAAAGCAGTTCGAAAAACGGAAAGTGAAAACAATGGGAGTGAAGAAGCCAAGAAAGAACTAAACTTTAGACCATTAAACCAAAGTGTCAAGAAACATCAATTTAGAAAAAAAAACTTAACATAAACAAGAAAAAGAACAACTTAATCTTAAATGAAAATAACCAAACAAATACCTATGCCACAACACAAAAAGAATATACTCTAAATACATCAATAATTACAAAAATAATAATAATCCAATGTAGAATAACACTTGGACCCCCATCCAACTTACTTCTCCCCACATAAAAAATATATCCCAAAATACACAATATAGAATAATAAACTATAAAATATAGAATATTAAAAAAAAAAAGAAAAAAAAGGGGGAGGTCCATCCACAACTAAACCAATAACCTTTGACCATCTCATTTCTTCCATGGCTGAATAGAAAGAACCACTATCAAGATGATGATAAGCAAAAGAATAATAGCAAAACAAGTCCATTTTCTTGTATTCTTTTGGTGTTTTCTTGCCACTTGTAATTGTTGAGCACCTCCTCTAACATATGAATTAGCCCTATTCACTTGGCTCTCAATATCATCAAGTTGTTCACCTTGAGATTCCACTAAAACAGCCATGTCCAAGAAAACTTGATGAAGTTCTTTCAAATTCCTCTCTATTTCCTTTA